ACGTAGACCCGACTGTCGTGGGAAAAAATTCATCGTCCTTGCTGTTGGAGCAGCAATACTCAGCTGTACTTTTGGTGTCAGGGTCGCCGGTGCATGCGAACGTAGTTGTGCTAGGGTGCATCTGGTTGTTGTTGTTGTTATTGTTGTAGCGATAACCAAGCCCCACTTGGGTCGGTTCATCCATCAGCGTTGTCGTCTGTTCGGTGCATCTGGTCTTTCTCGGCAGTTCTACGTTGTTGTTGTTGCGCGGCGGTCGAACCTCGCTCTGACTCCATCGCTTTTTAAGTTGTTGAGCGCCAGTCGTGTAGGTGACGTCTCATTTGTCGAGGGGCGGATCGGTCCGAAGCAGAGCGAGGTTAGAGTGACTGCCACGATGACGGCGCACGAGGTCTGGGATTTGTTCTGGCCACTGCATTACGTCAAAATTTATTTAGTTTTATTTATTTATTAATCAATTTATTTATTTATTTGTTTAAACAACTTCTTGCTCATGGTATGCGCTTTTATCTACAAAGTCTGGCAAATTTATTTGGAGAATATCGGGATAGATTTCCTTGTTCATTATTCCTTTAATATTCACTAATGGTACCAAATGCCACAAAGTAAAACACTCCCAAACTATTAAGCTGCTACCACCATGTTAGAAATTTTTCTTGACATGGTGTTTTTGAATACGTTGATGAGGTTTTTACCAAAAATATTCTTTTCTATCGCTCTAGAAACAATAAATTTTCGTTCCATCGGACCATATTGCCCCTTTTCAGTCCAAAAGCTCAAATTCTCGTGATTTTAACAAAATTTCAGTGGCAGCTTAACGGCTTGGGGTGTTTTAATTGCCTGCATTTGGAGCCGTTTGTTAATATTAATGGAATAATGAACAAGAAAGTCTATCTCCATATTCTCCAAACATATTTCCCAGAGTTTGTAGACAAAAGCGCATACCCTGAGAAATAAGTTGTTTGCCAGCAGGACGGAGATCCAAAGGATTCCGAAAATATTGTTGTTGTTGTGTTAGCAGCACGTAGTCCCCGAATTGGTTGGTTGTTTATTCATCTTCGTCTTCCCCATCTGACTCCTCCAACCTTAGGCCCAGGAAGCGAGCTGTCTCAATAGGTTGAGTCCACAGCGCTTCGGGTGTCAGATGGGTGGGATATGTAGTGTGCGGTGTTGTGTGGACCAGTTCCGAATGCTGGGCAGGTGTCAGCGATCTCTTGGTCTAATCTGGTTCTGTAAGAGTTTAAGCGACTGCACCAGCCAGATCTGAGTTGCGCCAGTGTGGTTCTTGTTTCGCGCGGTAGTTGGAATTCGCTCAAATCGATGGAAGGCGGCTGGCCACCGAGGTCTATGTTTTCGTGGCATCCTCGTGTTGCGGAGATGACTGCTTCGCGATGAAGGTTATGATTCCCTCAAGGTATGCCTCGCGGCTCAGTGGCAAGTGAAGTTGTTGGTCGATGTCTGCTTCTAGGTGACTGAGGTGTCTCCTTATGTGTCTTGGTGGTGCAGTTCTCTGTGTCAGGCTGTAGTTAGGGTGAGTTGTTCTGTGACAGCCTAGCAGGAACTGTTTTGACAGCAACATATTGTGATCCCTTACCTGGAGCATTGTAGTCTCGTCGTGTAAGTGTTGTTCGGAGGGCATAAGGAGACACCCTGTCGCGGTTCGTAGAGCGGCATTTTGGCATATCTGAAATTCTGAAATATTCGACACCGTCGGCTGCTTCAGCAAAATTTTCACGTAATGCAGTGGCCAGCACAAATCTGAGACCTCAACGCCATCGAAAAATTGAGCGCTGTGATCAAGCATGTGATTAGCATAGCACAAGCGAGCTCCGAGTAACATGGAAGAGCTTTGGAGGCGAGTAAAATTATAATGGGGAAATCTTCCAAGCGAAATCATAGAAAACTCAGTAGACAGCATTCCCAGACGTATGAAAATCTTGCTTGTTTCCTTTTTAAGTTTAGTTTTTCTGTATACTAGGTTTTATTCCTTAAATAATAAGGACCAATTGCTGACAATTTCAAAGCAATCCGCCTATTATTAAAAAAGTTATGTTACTGTAAGAAATAAAATATCGTACATGCACTCGGTTTTGATCGCCAGTGTATGTACATACCTACATACATATGTACATAGGGCTGTGAATTTCATCCGGATTATTCAACTATCCGGATAAACCGAATATTCGAATATGCGGAGACTTGAACGAAAAATCCGGATAGTCCGGAAGTTAGGATAATATTCGGACATCCGACTGTCCGGATTTTTCGTTTGGTCAAATGTGACATTTTCCTGCGTTCACTCTTTTATTTACCAGTTTTATTAGATCAAAACCATATTTGCATTTCCCATATATTCGAATATGCGGATAGTCCCAGCCCTATATTTACATTAGATTGCATCGCCAAAAAAAAGTTGCAGTTTTTCCGCCGGGATTACAAAACTTAACTTTCTAAGAGGTCCACAA